TCTGAGTATAATACTACCCCCCAACTTTATGGATGATTTCATGGATTAAATTTTACATATTATACTTGAATAAATACAGTTATTGTTTACAGCAACCTCACGATTTTGCAAAAACTGCAACTACTGTCTGCAATTACTTCCTCTTTTTTGAAGCAATACAGAATTTGTCAATAATATGTCATYATCTTCATCAAACTGCACTGCTTATTCATCATCACCACCAGCACAGTATGAGCATATTACTACCTGGAATATTTCTTTCCAACATGACGGAGCAACAAACTGGATAAAGTTGAGCTATTATTAATTTTTTTTTTTGCTTACACAGAGGTGTGTGAGCTGCTACAGGACTCTGCAGCTAGCAGGCTTCAAGCCCCCCAGAGTGGACTGGGTCACAGAGCTGTCCGGCAAAGTGAAATGTGGAAGAATCCGTTTTTACACGGGTAATATCAGTGATCCTGCAACACTGTTCTACCAACAAGGCTTTAACTAGGGTTGGGTATTGAAAGGATTTAATTTGATACCGGTCCTAAATCGATACTTTTAAAACGGTACCGGTTCCTAAACGGTATTTAAATCGGTACTTTAAAAATATATAAAACACACACACTCACACAGAGGTTTATGAAGCAATGACTATTTCTGAGGCAAAGTCAACCTGAAATTGACCAACTTATTAACTTAAAACCATTTATAATTTGTCTTTGCATCAAATATTCTTAAAGCATTTGTTGTAGTTGGAACTTTCTGCATCTTATTTTGTAAAGTGACACCACACTTTGGACCGTTTTGCTTTCTACATCTCAACTATAATATAATATTTAACTGTTAACTGCAGCAGCACCTGTTAAGCTCCACTCCATGAACTCTGTTCTACTCGATTCACTTTGGGTCGGGTCGGTTCTGCTCAGTGTCCGTGTGTCTCCACACAGTGTGTCCCTCACTCTGTGGGTGTGATATAATGTGTGGACTGTCTGCAGCAGCTTCAACTGTTGTGTAAAAAAATAATAAAATAAAATAGCCATTGTGGTCTTACCATTCGTTTGTTCGTTTATTGCCACAGTGCTGTTTAGCTAAGTGCTTGTGTAACCGTGGGCAGCCAGTTTGTTGGAAACCTCCCGTGATCTGCTCAGCTTCGTCTCCAGGAAATGTTTACAAGTTCTGCCTTTCCCAAAAAGGCAGTTTTATTTCACCATGTCATCATATTGTGCAGCACGCTCATATTCCTAAACAAAAGCAGCTCTCTCCAAGAGGAAATTTGCTGTCAGTCAATCCAATAGTTAATCCACGGGCAGAATTCTGCTGACGTCAAAATCATAAGCGTGCTGTACTCGCTTCTACCCGAGCCACCAGAGAGGATGTTCAGAGACAGCGTGGCTGTGGAGTGCGCTTGGAGAGATGCACTGGGCCGAGACCGAGTCGAACCGCGTACAAGAGCCTCTGTGGAGATTGTGTGCCGAGGCTGTCACTGTTAGCAGTGTTTTCCCTATCATTATACAGGCGGTGCCCCCCCACCCCCACCAACGAGACGGCCCGCGCTTCTAAGAATTTCATGGCATGTAGTCATTTTTATTTAAATAAGGCCAGATCAAGTCGAGAGCTATTTTTTTGCGACCCTCCGTATCCACCTCTCGCCAAACTTGGGGAAAAAAGACAGCGCTGAGTGAGGCTGAGCGCTATCTGTGGTCCTCACAAAAATAGGAAGACGTGTGTGAGATTAGACGCGCAGCTCTGCTTTTAATCACGTAGCACC